AAGAAGCTGTACCAGTTTGCATTCCCACCAGCAATGCAGGAGTGTTTGGAAAGGGGATTCTTTAAGAGTCACAGATAGAGAAACAAAACTGTAAACAGAGATGTCTTGTTCATTTCCCAGCTGCCAGACCCAAAAAACCACACAGAAACTATATTAATTACAGCACTGCTTGGCCTATTAGCTCAGGCCTCTTATTAACTAACTCTTACACCTTAAATTAACCCATTTCTATTAATATGTGTTTCACCACGAGGCTGTGGAATACCCGGTGAGGCTCCAGTATTTATCTCCTTCAGCAGCTACATGGCATCTCCCTGACCCTGCCTACTTTCTCCCTCTATATATATGTCTCTGTTCAGATTTCCCGCTTGGCTGTACTCTGCTAAGCCATTGGCCGAAACAGTTTTATTCATCAAACAATAAGAGTAACACATATACAGAAGGACATCCCACATCACAAAATACCTTGGCGTTGGCCACTCCAGAGTTGGGGTAGGGAGTATCCCCTCTGCAGGGGAAGAATGGAAGAGAGGACTCACCCAACATAGACCATGGTTCTCCTAGCTAGGCATCTCCTGGGCTCTACAGGCTTACGTGTGGAATAGTAAGAGACCTGAATTGGCTTAGTGATTTGACTCTGGACAAAGACTCCATTCCAAAACTCTCCTAAGGCTGTAATCGGAGGCCATCTTGAAAAGGTATGTATTATCTAAATTTGGACTACTTTGGGAGACAAAAATCCTCATGTATTCCCACCTCTGAAACCCACACAGACATTCCCCTGCACTGGGTCAGCAGCTAGGTTCTCACAAACCAATTTTGGAGTGACCGAGTGGCTCTATCACAACCCCCTAGCCTGATTCTTGTGAGACTTTTCCTAGAGAGACTATTTTTAACAGACAGAAAAATCAAAGAGGGATTCCATCCAACTACAGCTTGGCAGACCCATGAGTTCATTGGTGGGACTTACAGGATCTGGTGACAAAGGCAACCGGGTCATGAGGACGTCCTCCACAGCACCAAGGAACAGCTACTCCACAGAGCTGCTGCTTGTTTCGGCAGTTGCTTCCGATGAATATAACCTCGTGAGAGGCAGGCCAACCTACTTCGCTTCGCCCCACCCCCACGCACACCTGAGGAAATTAATAGGTCCAATCTAGGGAGAGCCATCTGCTGGTGGTCGTAGATGCTCTGCTTCAAGATGGCAATAATCATGCCATTGTAGAAAAAGCAGATGCTCTCTGTAGGGCCACTGTTACCATTGGTTGGGGGACACCAAAAAGAATGGACAGCCAGGATCTCGTCTTTAAGACCAGCAGAGTCGTCAGTCCCGAGGTTTCACAGCAGTCTCAGGCCTGAAGGACTTTGCTACAGTTCTCACCACCCAGCTCCCTTTCACCAACCGGCTACATAAAGGACAGGGATGGGAGTCTGTGGTCCCAGTGCCCAAAGGAGTGGGCAAGCAGTTAGTGGCAACAGCAGGGGCCCAGTTGTCAGAGACCCTTCATAGCTGCCTGGGAAGGAATTATGGCCACACCCCATTCACGCCCTGCAGGACGCTACAGCTGAAATCACTTTAGAGTCTGTTCAGTGTGTTGAAGCCTACTGTAATCCCAACATTTAGAAGGCTGAGGCAGGAAGAGTAAACTGAGTATGAGTCTAGCCAGTGGGCTACGGACTGAGACCTTGTCTGAAAAAAATAAATAGAAAGGAAAGAAGGAGGGAAGGGATGAGAGGGTGAGAGAGGGAGAGAGGGAGGGAGGGACGAAGGAGGGAGGGAGGGAAAGAAAGAGAGAAAGAGAGCAGTGAACTGAGGAGAGAAAACTGCAGCCTGTGCCCATGCACTGGTAAGTAGGATCTGACATCTTGCCACTAGCCACACCCACAGTAGCAGCTATCTCTGTCCCCAGCTGATCATATGCTTTTGAGAGGACTAGACATGAGCACAGATAGATGCACATAGTCTTGAAAAGTGCAGAGAAGAACACAAACTATTGAGGGGACCTAGAAGACTGTGAAATAGGAAGGAGAAAAATCAGTGAAAACTGGGTCTGAATGAGGACCAAACAGAAATGCTGAAAATGAGGAGCAAGTCATTAAAAAAAAAGTTCAATTGAGGATTAGGGAGGTGGCTCAGTGGCTAAGAGCACCCAATGGCTGCTCCTGCAGAGAACCTGAGTTCAGTTCTGAGCTCAAACCCATCTGCAACTCCAGTTGCAGGGGACCCACCCAACACCCTCTTCTGGCATCTGAAAACACTCTATGTACATAGTATATATATACACACTTTCATACACAATACACATACAGTGTACATGCCAAACATACATATAAAATAAAATAAAAATAAATATGGCTGGAGAGATGACTCAGCAGTTCAGAGCACTTGTTCCAGCATGTACATGGCAGCTCACAAACATCCATAATGCCAGTTTCAGGGAATATAATCCCTCTTCTGATGCCCCACAGGCACTGCCTGCACTGATGTACAGAAAGGCATGCAGGCAAAACATTTATACACATAAAATAAAACAAATAAACCTAAAACAAAAGTTTAAAATGAATCTCTTTTAGGAAGTTCATTTGAAAGCCTCAGCTACAGAACACATCAAGTGGGAGAGAGAACACGAAAACTTAAAGATAGACCTTTCAAAACACCAAATTCAGGCAAAGCAGAAAGGAAAAAAGAGGACGTTCAAAATTTGGGGGACACCATTAAATAAACAAACGTTTCTATCATTGTTATACTCAAGTCAAGAAAATAAAGTTTAAGGGTATAGAGAACTCATTAAGTGAAAAGCTAACAGAAAACTTTCCTAACCCCAGAAAGACATAGACATCCATGTACAGAAGACGTCTGGACCCCCAAAAGACAGAAAGGATCCTCACCATTGTAACGAGACTGTCTAAAGGATAGGCCAGCACTGGGGTTATAGCTCAGTACTAGAAAGCCTGACTAGCAAACTTAAGCCCTGGGTTAACTCCCAGTACAACGACAACAACAATAAATCAATAAACAGCCAAGTACATAACAAAAAAGAACTATGAAATCTACAGGTGCTAGATCACATTTATTAGCAGCCCCATTAGATTAAGAGAGATTTCTCAGCAAAAGCCCTGCAGGCAAAGAGGGTACAGAATGTCACAGTTCCAGTCATAAAAGAAAACAACTGCCGATCAAGATTACTATACTCAGCAAAGCTGTCCTTCAGAAGTGAGGGGAAACAGATCTTCCAAGATAAGCAAAACCTGAGGAAACTCAGAACTACCAAACCAACCTTACAACAGCTGTTTCATGAGGAATTCAGAAGGGAAAGAAAGAAGATACACAAAATAGAAGATACACAGAAGACATATCTGACATGGTAGATGCAATAAACCATCACATCACAATGGTGAGAAAGACGGGAACAAAAGGTACTCAAAACAGCTAGAGGGAAAATCCACAAGATGGCGGCCATAACCCTGTATCTTTCAATAAAAACTGAACGTAAGTGAGCTAAATTCTCTAGATATAGCATACAGGCTATTAGAGTATGGTACTGTATGCCTATGCTTATAACCCTAGTGCTTGAGAGGCTGAGGCAAGAGGATTGTGAGTTCAGGGCTATCCTGGCTACATAGTGAGTTTGATGGTACATAGAAAGATTATGAGCCTTGACTCCACAGTGAGACCCTGTCTCAAAATAATAAACAATAAAAAACAAACTCCACCAACACCTGCTGCCTATGAGAAACTAATGCCCAACACCAGTAAAGACAAGCAACAGAAAGGAAAGGACAGAAGAATGTCTCCAGCAAACAGAAGAGAGGAAGATTCAGATGGGGTAAAACTGAAAGGATGAGCTCGCATTACAGCTGACATCATAAAAGTACAAAGGAAGATGCAAGGTATTTTTATAACTATGTTAACAAATAGGAAAAGTGACACATCTCTGGACAATAAATAATGTGATAAATAATCATGTTGGGAACAAAGAAGGATAATGGAGTGGAGTGGCAAGTATCAGCAGTATAGGCCTAAAATCCTGGTACTTGGGTAGCTGAGGCAGGAGAAACACAAGCTCCATCCAGCCTGGACCACATGAATAGACCCTGCACACACACACAGAAACACACACATACACATACATGTATATAAAACTTATATATATATATATAAGTAAAATTATAATACATATATACACATATACATATATGTATAGGAAGTCTAGCAATTCCAGGCCCAGCTACTGGCTAAGTAGGATCTTGCTTTGCAAATGGCTGCTTTCTTGCTATGTTGTCACACGGTGGAGATGGATATTCTGTCTCTCTCCTCTTTCTTACAAGCTATGCAGAATTACCCAACTATGCCTAATTACTTCCCAAAGTTCTCCCTGCAAATAATACAGCAACACACTGTAGGTTAAGGCTTCAACATATGAATGGCTAGTGCCATGAACATTCAGGGCCTAACAGATGGCAGAAGTCATGAGAGCAGAGTTTTAGCTTTTAGTTCTCTGGTCATCTGATGTTGAAAGAGAGCTGACTGCCTGGGCCTGTGCAAACAAGAGGGTTATAGGAGACAATATCTCAAGTGACTTCTGATCCTAACACTGTCATTCCATATACCCTGCCCTTACTAGCACTCAGATACACCAGGCCAGAGCACAACAGGAACAAAAATCTGGCTTCTCAACAACCGTGCATGTTAGACTACCGTTCCATCATTGTGACAAAACGCCAGGCACAAACAAGCTCAAGGGGGAAAAACTTCAAATTTCAGGTTTCAGTTCAAGATCAGTTTGATCTGTTGCTCTTTGGACTGGGAGGCAAAAGATTAAGTATGGAGAAAGCAAAACTGTTCCATCCCATGGCAGCAAATACAAGTCTTTACTCAAAGACACTTGCAGTCCCTTACGCTAGCAATTCTCCTCCTCTGAACTCACACAGTGTCCTCTTTGCACGTTTGCGTTCAGTTCCTGCCACTGTGACATCATAGAGGGAAGGGCTATATTTACCTCCTGCTTTCAGCCTGTGGTGGTCGTTTGACACGTGTCTGGGCTCATGGTGAAACGGAAGAGTGTCAGAAAGCGCATGCAGTTGGCAGTTAGGCACCTCCTGGTAGCCAAGAATCAAAAAGAGGGGAAGAAGGTGTAAAAACCCAATATCTCCACCACTGACTTCCTAAGGTCAAAAGTTCTGGAAAACTTAGTATTTAAACATGGTCCCCCATGTACTCAACACCAAACATTTAAGTATATGTGCTCGGTGACCTAAATTCAAGTAGAACCCACCATATCCTGGTTATCCCACAGGCTTGATGACCAAGCCCTTAGTATATAACCTTCAGGGGATGTTTATAATCCACCCCCATAACACCTAGTCTTAGAAGATTTATTTAAATGCTTCTGTATGTAGTTACCAGCAGAGGACAGCAGGTGGTGCCAAATAACCTGGATTACAAAGGGTTGTGAGCCTCCTGATGTGGGTGCTGGGAACTGAACTTGAGTCCTCCGGAAGAGCAGCAACATTCTTAACTACTGAGCCCTCTCTCGAGCCCTAGTAACACTTTTTCTTTAATAGTTCGTCGCTTTCTTTTTTGTTTCATTTAATCAAGATGACTTTAGAGTCCCCCAAATCAAAAGTTCCTGGAAAAGACAGTGTTTACCTTGGTCCTTTGTGAACTCAATACCAAACACAAAGTGTATATGCTTAAAACATCTTTTCCTTATGAATTGCAGATGGACACTGGCATCTATCTAAAACTGGGACTGTGAGTGGAATGGAGAATTTGGGCGTAATGAGGGCCTACTATGTGTTGAGCAGTGTGCTAAATGTAGCTTCATTCTTTGTTTTATGTAGAACTTTCCAGAAGCCCCATGGATGTATTAAAAATTGATGAAAAGGACTGACTACGTAGCTTGGTAAGAACTAGGGAAGCCTGAGGTCACAGCCAGGGGTCTGCGGGTCTCACATTCTCCCTGTGGCCGATGCTCTCAGAGGATTCGCACACAAGCCCCTCCCGCGGCGCTCTCGTGACGTCATCACGCGCGGCCGGGCGGGCGCCCTCGGGGCTTTAAATGAGGCCTTTCTAGGCGCGCAGAAGTGAGTTCGGCAAAGCGTGTGTAGAGGGGTCTCCTTTTCCCCGGGCCAGAGCTGCTTGGGACCCTGAGGTGGGCGGAAAGGTTGCTGCGCGCGGACTCGGGCTCGCCGGGGACGCGAGGGGCGGGAGAGGGAACATGGCGGCCCGGGTCTGAGGCAGCGCCTCACCGGGCTTTCCTCCCAGGCCTTTGTCGGCAGCTTTCCTCACGTGCTCTCCTCGGCGGCTTTCCTCACTACTTACCGTAGATACTTTCTCTTCTTTGCCTTCCCTCAGTTCCCCCGGCGCTCACCGTCCCCTCCCCGCGCCCTCAGCCCCACTCTGAGGTAGGTAGGCTGAGAAGGACGCCCGTGAGACCCCACAGGTGACCAGAGGCCAATTCCTGCATTTGACTCTTAACTATACCACGCCCGCACCGGGCGACAGAACAAGCACCCGGTGTGGAGAAATCAAACTTCAGCTGCAGTCCTGTGCCTGATGAACCCTCCGAGGGTTCCTGGGAATTGTTCTCTGGAATTGCCAGCCCCTGAGTCTCAGGATTGCAAAGCTCTCTTTGAAAGATCCAGGGAGCCTTTTCTGTGTATTGTGTGGCAGGATCTGCCCTCAGGACAGTCTGCGACTGGAGGGAATGGATGCTGCCTGCCATAGTGTCAACAATGCGAGAACACCCTCCGCTTTGGGTTCTCAGAACTCAACTGATGTCCTTGCGTCTGTCAAAGGAAAGTGACTTCTTCTGTGTCATCTTTGCCACAGAGAATCGTGGCACTGTTCTGTCGCTTGTTTCGCTTTAGTCAGTTGAGAGTAGATGTTAAACCAAGGGTCTTTCTCGCCCCAGTCCAGAATCTAGGTTTGATCTTGACCTTTTTGTTTTTCTTCAGTTGAATGTAGATTCTAGGAAGGATCCCATGCTCACTACCTTGGAGCCTTCATTGCCAGGCTGGACTCTGGTGGGCTAGAGTGAAGGAGAGAGCTAGGAAGATGAGCTCTAGCGTAACCGTGAGTGAACCAAGGCTGAACTGGTGAGTCGGACCTTTTCCTCATCCACTCTGGAGGAGTGAGACAGGGACGGTGGGTAGCACAGGAAGGGAAGGTCTCTGGCTTGAGAGGGTTTTTAAAAACATTTTTTTTCAGGGCCTCAGATTTTACCCTATTCATATGCCAAAACTTTTGAGTTGCAGCTGACTAATTTCAAGACAACTCAGCACTCAGGGTTAGTTGTCATTTCATCTGAATTGTTGTTCTCTTGTGGAGGAGAAGTGCTGAAATTGTTCTCAACATTTTCAGTTTTTTAATTCCTTCACTCAAGTAGCATCGACCATAACAGATCAGTCTCAATTATAATGGTCACTTTAGTATATCTGGAGCTCACTATGGAGACCAAACTGGCCTTCAACTCAGAGAGATCCACCTGCTTCTGCATCCTGAGTGCTGGATTAAAGGTGCTGTTCACCATGGCCAGCCTGTGTCGAATCATCTACAACACTATTAGTACTGCAGTGTGTGTTCACATGCGATGCAGGTACTCCTGCAGCCCTCTGGCCCTATGAAAGCAAAAACGATTTTGTAGTGTTAAAGACCTGGGAGCGCTTTCTTCTCAGAGTCCTACTGATCAGTGTACTCCCTAGATTAGTTAACCTCAGTATTTTTTCAATTTCTTTCTTTTATTTAACCGGCATTGACTATATTAATTTCAAACTAATTTTGATGTTATAAAACTCATCACTTTAGAGGTGGTTTTAGCAAATATCCATCATTTACCCCATTTAACCAAGTCAAGAAAAGTCAGCAGTAAATAAGATAGCCAGTGTTTTCACCTGGGGCAATAGTACATGAGACAAAAACAAGTTGAGCCACGTCTATTCTGTTCAAATACTTTAACATTACAGTTCATGGCCAGAGATGGGGCTTGTCCTGGACAGAACCTTGATTATACTTCAGTCTGGCCTGCCTTTAATGCTCAGGCTTCTGAAGTTTAATAGTTTACTACAGGAAAACGGATTTTCGGAGCGTGAGAATTTTATACTGCCCCAAGCTTAAAGCTATCCAAGAAATAAAACATCTAAACATATAGGATCTCACACATGAAATTAAACTGACTAGGGGTGATTGGGAACAGCTGAGGGTAGAGGTCATGAATCACAGCTGTAGCATTATGCTTCTTTGTCTAACGTGAGATTTTGAATTGTCAAGTGCAAGTAAATTACTTTATTTCACAGGGATGTTACACCCAAAAATGGCCTTAAAGTATTTTTCTCTCGAGAAAATTATAAAGATCATTCCATGGCTCCAAGTTTAAAAGAACTCTATATTTTGTCTAACAGGTAATGTTCATTTGGTTATTTATTTTCACATTTCATTGCTGTTTTTCTGAGAGATGAAGTTTTATGACTATTTTAGTAAATATTTAAATTATAAAATGTGAAAAATAGAAAGATACTGATAACATTTTGATATTTACCTTTCTCCATTACACACATGAGATCATAGCTGTAATTATCTCTGAACACCATAAAACTTTATAATTTAGTTTTATCATTAAAACTCAGTGTTCTGTATTTATTTCCATTCATGCATACAGTATTTCTCTTTAATCTTAATTAATAGTTTCATATTCTTTATATGTGTACTTTTAATTCCTATAGCAAGTCCTATGTCGGTTTTTTTTTTTAATTTTGAAATTATTTCTGTGTGATAAAGTCATACAAATTTAGTCAGACTGAGTGTATATTTTTTATTTTAATGGATGGTACTAAATACCAATTCATCAAAAGAATTTTTGTCTTCTGTGGTATAAAAATGCCTAGTCAGCAATAATGTTCCATTATTCCTGCTTACATGCGTGTAGCAGTTTCTTTTCCTCTTTTAATTGACTGTGTCTATTGTGTTGTGGGTTACTCTGGAGACCAGAGATGTGGGACTAGGAAGCCCCTCCAAAGGAGTTTTCCCTTTAGCTTTCACAGGGAAGAACATTATCTACTTGCTCTTCTAGCTTCATTTTCTCTTGCTTCCAGTCATTTTAATCAACATTTGAAAATACCAAAATTTCTTTTTTAAATAATCTTCTCCATGTTCCTTTCTGTCACCTCTGCTTCCATTTGACTTACACTACTTTAGAGGTGTGTATGTGCTGACATGAAGTGAGAATAAGCAATTTGTAAGGCGTATAGAAGGCATTAACACAACAGTGGTGGTCCTTCCACAGCAATAATTAAGTATAGGTAGGTAAGACTTCTCAATGAAAAGGCAAATCAGTGGGTGAATTAAAAAACGGGCAAAAGTTACTTTCTGAAGCTTTTCCTCTTTCATTATCAGTGAGCTTTTGACTGTGGAGCTCTTCCACTCAGCTTTCTTTCCAGTCTTCTGGTTTTTATAGTGGTTCTCAGATTCTTTCACCATCTTCATCGTCATGTTTTTTACCATGCCTGACCATTAGACATACTTTCAAGCTTTAAGAAATACTGATTTTGTACTCTCAACCTAGTCTGTTGAATCCAGACCACTGAGAATCAAGGATGTTTCTAGGGACTTGACTTAGTTTATAATGTCTGTTTGTGTGTCTTGTACTACACACATCAAAATACTTCCAGATAATAGGAGTTATAGTAATATGCATTATTGTACTTCTATCTAGATGATAAATTTTTAGTTAAAGCATATGTGTGCTTTTATTTTGGTAGATATTTCCAGATTGCTATGTAAAACATTAAAATACATCTATGGATTTTTCTAAAAACTGTTACTGTTATTCATTCCTGGAGATAACTAATTTCATAAAACTTCCCAATCATTTAATACCTTTGATTATTTAAATCAAATAATGTTTATCAACATCCTTTCCCTTTTATCTGAAATGTTCTTAAGGTCAAAGGAGAAATAGTCCAGGGTTGGTCTGGTGATATGTTCAAACTATGGCCCCAGAGAGTTGCCAAGGGCCTGAAGTAACTTGACATCCCAGGTTATTGCCTGCAAAATTTCAAGGGAAGCAGCTAGTGCCAGGAAAGTGCTGAGTTAGCACAGTGTCCAGAAATGCTACACCAGAACATTGGCAAGTGACTCCACAAAAAGTGCCTAAGGAGTCAGCAGAAGTGCTTAGTGGTGGCCCAGCAAAAGTCCAAGTAATTCAGTGTACTGGCGAGTTAAATGTCCTTTTGATACAGATTAGAGTTATTTTGGAAGACGAAACCTCAATTGAGAAAATATCCCCACCAGATTGACCTATGGGCAGCCATAATTTTCTTGATTGATGATTGATGTGGGAGAGCCCAGCTCAACTGTAGGCTGTGTTACCCCTGGGACTGTAATCCTAGGTGCTATAAGAAGGTAGAATGAACAAGTCATGAGGAGCAAGCCAGTAAGCAGCAGTCCTCCATGGTCTCTGCATCAGCTTCTGCCTCCAGGTTCCTGCCCTTTCTGAGTTCCTGCTTTGATTGAGTTCCTGCCTCAGTGATAAACTGTGATATGAAACTGTAAGCTTGAAATAAACCCTTTCCTTCTCAAGTTGCCTTTGGTCATGGTGTTTTATCACAGCTATAGAAACCCTACATAAGACAGCTCACCGAAATGCTGAATGGTGGCTCAGTAAAACCCCAAGGGTGATGTGACAAAAGCGTTCTGTGACAACTCAGAAATTCCAGCTGGTGAATCTGGAAAAAAAAATGCCCAAAGGTAGCTTAACAAAGCTTCCAAAAGATTGCTCAGCAAAATTGTTCAACAATAATTCAGCAAGACTACTAGATGGAGATTCAACAAAAATCAACAATGACTCCACAAAAATACCTAATAATTCAGAAAGCCACCACTTAGTTACTTAAACAGAACACTAAGTCATGAACCAGCAATAATACAAATGATAACTCAGCCTGACATCTAACAATGACTCTGCCACCTGGCACAACCCTGAGCTGATTCCACCATACCCAACAATGAGCACAGCACCCAGTCATGACTAAGTATAAAGTACTGTTAGTAGAGAAAGCAGGAGCAATTATGTATACAGTCATTGGCTTTATTTTCCTGAAGATAAAAATTCCCACAGCCCAGAATCTGTAACAAAAATTTTGAAAAGGGATTGACACCAGTCTCCTTAATGACAGTTATTTAAACCTGTGAGCAACACAAGGATCTCTGACAAACTTGAGATTCAATAAGCTGACTGAGTCTCAGGAAGATCTATCTCTACACACAAGTGCTCAGGTTAGAACAAATGGACGGGGTGATGCCTGAGAACAGCTGAAGCAGTGTCCCACAATCTGGGCAAATACCCACACAATCACATTAATGGGTGGTT